AATCACTCCACTATCTTTGTCAAGAGGTTGTGACATTTTGCAGATAATAAAGAAAAGGTGTCTGGAGAGCCATGATCACTTACATTCTGAAAAGTCATGGCGTTAAAAAAAAAAAAAAAAAGATCAGTCATATCACTTTTATTCTATTACACTCTATATGCATTTGCATTATTATTACATTCTATTTGCATTTTGCAAATTTTTATGACATGTTTTTAAACAATTTAAAAACATGTCATAAAATTTTCAAAATTTCCATATCTACAGTTTCTCTATGTCTATATTTTGTCTAGCATCCTGATCCCAGTTTATTGTTAAAATGTAGTTTGAGAAACATCTGTCATGTCTACATATATTTTATGTAAAGAATTTTCTACTTTTCAATGTACAAGAAATTTCTATTTATTTATTCTGTTTTATAAAAGGAAGAAATAAAGAAAAAAATATATAAAATGGTTAAAAACACTACTTGATTTTTCTTGTTACACTTGATTTGAATTTTGTGCTTGGCAGAAGTTTGATGGTTTATTTATCTCCCAAAACTATATTAACATTGATAATTGTTGACTTGAATTTATATCTCTATTTCTATTTCTAACATTCTGTTTGGCTATTCAAACTGACACACAAGCAAAATACCTTTTGGTTAATAATGTTGCTTGTGTGTAATATCTCTATAAGAAGATTCTCTAGAGCAATAAATCTAGAAATGACCAAATACTATAACTTTTTAAATTATCATAATATTTTTCATATGCATGTGAAATTATGCTTCATTGGATTGATAAACTTTGATGGTGACAAGTTTATTATATTCTATCCCCAGAAGACTAACTCAAATTTAAGTAAATATATTACAAAAGAAAACAACAAATTTTAAGTGCATTTTCTCTCTTTTGAAGAAACCTAGTCTTTGTAAAAAGTTTTTGTTTATTATACAATTCTCAAATTTTTTATAAGATTATCACTTTTACTATAAATAACAGTTAATTTTAAAATGAGAATTGGGCTTTAATTTGATTCTTTCAATTCTATTTGGTATGGTTTTGTAATTATGCATATACAAAACTTATTGGAAAATTTGCTTAGATAGATAACTAATATCAAATGTAACTGGTATAGTATTTAAGGATGTCTTGTTTAAATACCACTATATGTATTTATGAAAAAGAAATAAGAATAAACAGGGAAATTCTCAACAGTGAATGGTTCCTTTCCTTATTAAGGAATGGAGAGAGAAAGATGAAACTAGCTTCTTTATTACTCCTATATGACATTGCAAGATTTGCAAGGAATATATTTATAGAATTAAAATGCTTGCTTTACAAATTTAGTAAAGAAAGATTTATATATTCAGTTTTTAATGGAATTTTCATTGGTACATACTTATATTTAATATATTTTAATCTTTGCTATTAAAAGAGTTTAGTCATAAGAAAGTGTTCACATTAAGTAAAAACAATAGACAGAAAAATACAGAAATAAAATGGAAAATCTTTTTATATAGGCCAGTAACCAGCAGCAAGTGAATGTGGCATCTTAGTATAGTAAGGGAAATATAATCCAACTGGAAGAATGGTAAGAGTCACCCTTGATGAAGGAAGATTATTAGCTTACTTTAAATGTAGGATGGTTTTACCAGTGGCCACTCTGGGAGTCAGGTTTAGCTCAAGTGAGTCAACATTCAAGTATATCTATTTCAAAGCAACAAAAATCTTTCATAATGTGTCATTTTCCTTTTTGACATCAGCTAGATCAAAAATTGTTTTAACTCTGTGCCTCAAAATATTGACTGAAATACAAAGAATGTAAGTAAAAAAAAAAAAGCAAAAAAGAATGAAATAAAATTAACATGGCTAGTTGGGCTGTGTATATCTGAGCCCTATTGAAGTTGGGGATATACTTAATAGGCAATGTATTTCTTACTTTAATTTTATAAATAATCTTTTAAAAATCCCTAATGACTTGTATGCCCTGTTTTTCAAAGAACACATTTTTATTTTAGTGTATTATTTTCAAATGTCTATTTTAAATAATTTATTCTGTACAGTATAAGGTTATTTAGTGGAATGTATTTTTTGAGAAAGGGCAAATTAAATTTAGCCGGACCTTAAATTCAGTGAAAATCAAAGGAAGTGGCAGCCTTAAATTGTCAACTAGAGAGTTGAGGTGAGGAGTGTGACTGGCGCAGTGTTGAGGAAATATCATATCAATCAGCAGTACTGATCATAAACATACAATAAATTAAACTAAAAATTCACAGAGAGAGAGAGATACTTAAATGCATTAATGCATAGAAATATATACAAACATACACTTTAGATAGATACACATGTTATTTTTAAAAAGAAAATGTATCTAGCTTTGTCATCACTCTTCTTTTTCTTACATATCTGGAAAAGATTTTCTAAAATGTTTTATTTTTGTATAATTATTACAATTAATATTAAAATACCAAAATATGTGTGTGTGTGTTTTTAATTTCATGCACAGAGATTTTTAAAATTATATACTTTAGTTAGAATAAAGGAATCATTTTAGCATCTAAGTTATGCCAATAGTATAATTTGTTAAAGATAAGCCTGAGAAACATTGATGATCTGGGTTATACCTCTACCATTTTCCAGTCATACTACATGTACTGAATAATTATTTATTTTATGTTAATTTATGTGTACAGTGCAATGTAGTATGGGCATGCTGGTTTGTTTTTAGTTTAATGTTTGTTAAGATGGCTACATTACAAGCTTGCCTTGAAGACAATAGTGAAAAAGATGTTTAAGGATTTTGGAGGCACATATTTATAGTTCATCAGTATTCCTTTTAACAAATAAGAGCTGTTAAAGTGATTTTGCTACTATTTTAATATATATTCACAATCATCCTCACAATATTATGAATGAAAAGAAATTTATTCCCCCTCCCCTGCATTTATAAATGCATACACACAAAGTAATCAACTGAAGCAAATAAAACTAAATAAAGATGCTGAAGTTAGAAAAATAAAGAATTAGCATAGGTAAAACAAAGTAAAGATATACAAAAGAGCATAGTTATTATATTAAATAACTAGGATAGTACCAATGAAAACTGACATGATTATTTATCTATGGATTAGAACTTCTGCCTTGAATCAAAGTACCTGTATACTCTGTCTAAAATCCAAGTCGATCTCCAGCCCTCTGGCATGGTTCATTATAGCATCTATGAAAAGTATTTTTTCTCACTCACACTCAGGTATGTGTTTGTATAAATTACCCATACAGTATATAGTTTATTCAAACTGAAAAAATGACAACATATGTAAGTAATTTTGCAATTGCATTGAATGTGTTAACTACACTTTCTTACCCTGATTTTTTTATGTTCAACACTTTTTGAAATATCATTTAATTCACTGTTGAATAATTATAGAGTTTTTATTTAACACAAGTTGTAGCAGATGTATTCTTGTCTATGTGATATCTTGTGATGGTGACATCAGTTGCGTTGGTGTGTTGAGATTGTAAGAGTTGAAATCAGTTAAAATATTTTCAAAACACTCAAATCAAAAAAAAAGAAATTGAATGATAACACTAATTGAGTCAAAAAGAGAGAAGGCTAGATTAAGTTCTTGTAAAAGAAGACAAAAGAAAGTTAAAGAGCAAAGCAGAGTGTGCTGTTTCCCTAATTATTAACTTTGGAAAAAAAATATGGATATATTTAACTTGTCAGAAATTAGTTACTTTGTGATAAAGAGAAAATAAGTAATACAAGTTTGTCTATATTTATTGTAGAAATTATTTTCTTTAGTAATTTAAATTTCTTTTTAAATAATAAACATTCTGAATAAGATCTGGTTATCCAAAATTTTTATCAATTCTCTTTCAGCAGGTTTTAGTTTACTATTTAAATCATTACAAAAATACCCAAGAAAGCTTTTATGAAATAGAAGAAATAAAAAGCACTGTATTAGCAACTTGGTTTCATTGTTATTTAAGTAATAGATTATATAAAATCACATTGTTTTATATTATAGAGAACATGAAAAATTTTAACATTTTTTTTATGGATCCTTAGTATAAAATCAATATAGATTTAAAGATATGTATGGACTAATGCTGTTTTAGAAGTGAATAATATTATCTCTCTAAGTTTTCTGACTAGTATGTATTGATTCTAAGTTCTTTTTTTTTCTCTTATTCTGCTTCTAAAAATATTAGTTGATTGATCAAATAAAGATTGGGAATTCCATTTTATCTCCCAAGCAGAATCAAGTTTGCATGCAGATTAAATTTTTGCTATTAAATGTAAAATCTTAGAATAATTAGTAGCTTATCATCATCATCTATAATTACGTTTTTTTTGCTTTTATTTGAAAACATCTTCATAGTGTTTTTTTTTTTTTTTTGTTGTTGTTGTTGTTTTTTTTTTTTGTTCATTTATCTTGCCTATGGTACATGTAAAATGAGTAATCAGATGTACTAAATTATTAGAGATTGTACTCAATTTTTTCATGTTTTGGAAAGGCTTCCTTGCAACAAATATTTCATGATGAATAAACATTACCTTAAAAAAAATCTTGTTGATAATGTAGGTGCAAGTTTTACATATTTGTTTATATTTCATACAATATTCAGAAGATTTGATTTTTTTTTTTTTTTTTTTTTTTTTTTTTTTTTCCATTTTATACATGATGTGAATTTTCTATATTTTTGGAATGTAACTCTTAATGTTGTAACAGTAGTTGATATTTTTTCTTTTATATCATTTGTAATTTTAATGTTTGAGATACATTTGATTTTCTTCTGATCAGTTGTTTGCTTGCATTTCTTTTTGTGTTAATTTTATTTTTTGTTGTCCATGTTTATTAAGAAAATGAAAAAAATGCAATAAAATCATTGTGCAATAACTCTTAACTTTTCATTTGTACAAGAAACTACACAATATTTGCTGCAAATCTTGTATATATGTCAATCAATGCACCCTATTCATGTTTATAATTTTTCATTTATTTGCAGGAATATTCCCCTGAGCTCCATAATATTACTAAATCTAAGAAAACCAATTTTGGTTCCAATGAAGGTATCACCATTACAAGTATTAAGCATTCCCGTGACAGTAGCTATGCTTCAAATTCTTCTGACCACATGGTACCTTCCGGTCCCTACATAAGGTAGGTATTAATATTTTCATTATTTGCATTGTTGAGTACATTTTTTTTTTTTTTTTTTTTTTTTTTTCTTTTATTATTAATCATAATTAATAATTATGCATTATTTAATCCAAATATCTAAAAATGAACACTTGATATGGACAAAGTATACATTAATAAAACATTTTCAATTGCCTGTACATCTCCTTAGCTTGTCAGTGGAAGGAAAGAATGTTTTGTTTGAACTGTATTTGTTATTGTTTAAAAACAAAATGAAAAATCTGATGTTTAACAGCAAATTTAATATTTAATTTAATAGCAAAGTATCATAAAATTTTGTCTTTTACTTGAAATTTCCAATATGAGATGTAATATCACAGAAAGTAACCACTGATAGTTATTATTGCTGAACAAAAGGGAAAAATGAATCAATTATAGACCAGCTTAAAGAAATTATAATATTGTTTCATGTCAGAATAGTATAAAGGGAGTGATTTTTGATTCTACTTGATTTTCATGGTAACTCATACATTATATTATTAGAGTATTGTTTTAAGAATACTTTGTCTAAGAATTATAGGATTTGTAAAAAAAAAAAAAAAAAAAACTGACTTTTTTTACTATGGTTTTTACAATACAAAAAAAAAACAGTTAGAAAAACAAAAACAACAATTATTCTTCAAAACTGATTTCAGAAAATAAAACTATTCTTTTCATAATTTTCCTTTGATATATCTATATATCATTAATTATTTTTTTTTTTCAGATTACAAGGTCATAATAAATTTTGTCTATTTATATATTTTTAATCTTTGTCCTCTGAAATCAGATTATCAAATTGCAAACAGTGATAGAAGTGTGCATTTGTGTTTATGTAATGGATCCTTTGTTTTCAGATTTTTTTTTTGTTTTGTTATATGCCAACAATATCTGGAGTAATTTTAGACTTTGGTTTTTCTCTTGCTGGAGATAGTTTTGTAATACCAGAAAAATGTGCACTTTACTATAAAAGTAAAAGTTTTAAATCAGTTATGTCTGTGTTTTTGCTTTGCTTTATGTATAGCAGCTTTTGTCATGTATGAAGATTTATGGTCATTTGTTTTTACAGTCAAATCTTCTAATACTGAGTATTAAAGTTTCTTATTCATCTCCCTGACAGGATGGACAGCTTTAACATTTCAAAACATTAAAATATAGCATATATAGTATATCTACCAACACCTGTATTATTGTTTATAGTGGTTCCTTTTGCTAACTCATAATTTTTTATATAGTGAAATATTTTTTTTAATAACAGCAAAAGGTGTTAATTGTCATCTTCACTTTATTATAATATTTCCACCAGTATGTCAACATCATATTGAAAGAAGTTAGTTACCTTCCATTTCTTTAAAACTTCTGTGAGTAATTAGTGGTACAAAAGTACCAATCTAGATAAAAATGAAAAGAAATAGTTTTCATTTCACTTCACCTTATCTTCCTACTTCTCCTTGCCATAACATACTGAATTTTCTTTTATACAAGGAATTGTACAATGTTATTTTATTATCTGTTGAATATATTGGCTAAAATATCATGGCAACAAAAAGAGTTTAGATGAGTATATTTTAATAAATTTTAGAAGCTATTTTCCTATAAAAGTGGACAGAGCTTTTTAAGAATTTACTGTTGGATACTGTTAGATATTTAATTGCTCTTTTAATAAAATCATTTATCAGGTTTTCCCTATGTCTAACTGGTTATATAATTTCATTGAAGAATACCAGCAAATATATGTTGATCCATTTATGTTCCTTTAGAATGAACTTTCACCAATTAATCTTTTAGTTAATTGTACAAAATATTGTTTTTGAAATTGTGTGCAGCTCTTTGCTGCTCTTTCAGCATTTTCTACATGTGTCTAAACTATTTTATACCAGAACAGATGGAGTGCCATAAAATAGAATGAAGTTGGTGAAAACAACAAATGAACTGTATCATTTTGTTAATCTTTTTATAAAATAATTTTATTCAGCAATGCATTGGTTATTTTTTATTTTTGAAATGATTGTGATCATTGATATCATTTTTTATTCTTTTTCATCTGAAACTATTTTTAACTGCCTCTACCTATATACAGTATTTAATGTTTACTAAACTTTGGTAAAATCAAAACTACTAACACATTTTTGAGTATATTTTGTGTTGCTATAATCAAATTCTAACTGATGATCCTTAAAAACAAAGATTAGGTTATTTTAAATTATTTTGAAATATTTTCAATAAAACATTGTTTTAATTTAGACTTTAAAATTGTTATTTCAAGGTGCATCAATGGTTCAATGTTTGTTATTTGGTAATTTTTGCAACTCATATTACCAGAATATTTTATTCAGAAAATATTGCACCAGTAATAAACTGCAAAAATCTCTCAGAAGTCACTGTATGCTGTTTTCATTGATTCAGCAATGCTACATCATGAATAATATATTTTAGTTATCTCTTACCAAGTGATTGGTTTTGGGCAATATTTTTGTTTAAGATTATTGAACCATTTTCATAATCATATTTACATTGTACAATTGCATTGCCAACTCTTATTATAAGGGAAATGCTGTAGAGACCATTTTTTTTTTTTTTTTTTTTTAAATTAGTTTTTTCTTGTTGCTCATGCTCTAAAAATCCTGTTTAGTCTGACTTCTCTCTGACTTCTATGTGCCTTTGCCATGACCAACATGCATGAATGAATGAATCAATGGTGACTCAGTTTACTATTGTCAAGTATGATGCATGTTAGACATTCTCTACCTTGTAAAGCAATTAAAATTTTGCATTTCTTAATCTGATCCAGACATTGGTTTGCTTGTATTCCTTAATAGTGCAGTGAGGAAAAGAAAAATCATTTTGAGATTGTGTTTTTACAAATTTGTTTAAAATACATTTTTTTCATAAAATGATGGAGAAAAGGATTGTATTTTACTTCAATGCGATACTTTTAACACTTCCTATCACTACGCTTCCATCTCTCTTTCCCTCCTCTTTTTTTTTTTTTTTTTTTTTTTTAAATTCATCCTCTATTTTCACAGATTTGCTAAAGAGGTGACCTCCAAACTCGTCACTTCTGCATCCAGCTTAACAAAAGCACTCAATGGAAAACTGAAGATGGGTCGCACAACTGACACTATAATAAAGATCTCAGAATCTTTATCTAGCCGCAAGTTGTGTGGAGGGCAGATTAATGACGATAATAATATGTCTGGCAGGTTTGAGTCACTACATGTTGTGACAGCCATGTGTCTCCAATCCATCTCTTTGACCATAACTGTAGTGATGACTGCATGACACTGCATAGTGCCACATAGTCACTGTAGCAATAAATTTCTTTGCCATTCCTTTTCTATATGTGTATTTATATAATCATGATTACAAATGGGTTTTTCCCACTTTTTTTGGTACAATTAATTTCTTTATTATTCTAATACAATTTATTTTTATTATTACTACATCATTTGGTCTTCTATTTGTTTTGAAAAATTTTGGCTTGATTAAGAAATCTTTCTAAAAAATTTGATGTTTGGTCATTTAGTCACATTTTGGGAAGTAGGTTGGGCTAAGAACTTTTCAGCATTCCTTTGTAAATAAGGCTATTAAAATTGAGTTAATTTTTTAGTTAATGACCTTTATTTTTTATATGAAAACAGAATAAAAGCTAAAATGATCAGTTACAAAAAAGAAACTTTGGAAGATTAGTATATGTTTATAGTCAAGCAGAAAGTATTCTGACCTCACAAGCTGCAGAGTTCACAAAGTGACCAATCATCTAGGTCTTGTACTAGTATCTTTCTTGCTTTGACTAAGCTATGTTAATGTATATACAAAATGAGTTTCTCATTCCAACCAACTGCTGCTATGTAATATTTCAATGATTAAAGCGTTAAAAGGTATTGTTGGTATTAGCATAATGAAATTTAATTCTCTTCAATGATTTTTGCTAAATTGAAAGAAAGATTGTGTGATCTTAATTCATTCCACCATGCAAAATATATAGTCCATTTAGTGTATTAAAGACTTACATATGTTAAAATATTTCATTTTTGATCTCAATGATTAAGAATAGGTACCCCCCCCTACAAAAAAAACACGATACCTAAGTTTAAAATGTATTTTAAAAAATGTGAAATCTTTCTTGAAGCTTTAATTTTAGTTCTAATTCCAAGCTAATAGGTTAAATTTAATCTTCCCAATAAGCAAAATATTTTGGTGTATTTCAAAACGAATCTTAAGTGATTGGAATTTTTTTTTTTCTCCTTATCAGTAAAATCTATAAATTTGCCCATATTGACGGATCTGTCAACACAACATAATTTTCATTTTTTTAAAAGATTTTTCAAAAATAAAATACTTTTTCTGAAAGTTAAAGTTTAATTAATCTGAATTGAAACAAATTTTAATTACTTTTAGTTTAAATTATTGCAGAAAAGTATTTTTTAACATGGAAGGGAGATGTCTTTCTGATGTTGAGTTTATTTATTGACAGCGTGATGTTTGTGAAATTTAAGTAAGAGGAATGTAGCTGAAAAAAAATTACTTGATGAATGTAACATGAATGCCTTTTTATATAATTTATTTTTAATTTATTTAATCTTCATAATTTAAGAAAATTTTTAAGCAATCTAATATATCTAATTTTAACTTACTTACAAATATGCTTGTTGAGAAAATGTTAGAAAATTACCTCTTTTAATTTCTGATAATTTTGTGTATGGATGTCCATATTTACAAAAATCTGCATATTTATACACACAAAAAACATTCAAAATATTCTTTTAAAATACTAGGAGCTTTTGAATTGGCATGAGCTTTTCCATTTATTAGTAAATATAGTTTTAATTAAATAATGATATTAATACTAATAATATTACAGCTACTAGAAATTAATACAGAATTTTAAAAGATTTAAAAGTTTATAAATTACTCTAATTAAAATTTTTTAAAAAATGTGAAAAAAAAAAAATTATTGTAAAAATTCATTATTCATCAGA